GTTACAAATAAAGTCCAGTTGTTTTTGTATTGAACGCTTTTTGAATTCATCATGTCCTGGATGACTGAGAATCTTCACCAGCATTTGACAAAATTATTTTAACATGATGCTTTGCAGTATTATATAATAACTAAAAGAACAACAAGGGGTAATTTTACTGAAATTACTTTATTTAGTAAAGTATTCAGTCTAAAAGTATAAAAATAAAAATGATCCTTCTGTTATTTAGATTGAAAAAGTCTGCACAAAATATAGACCAACAAAATCCACCACAAACACTAAAGTGCAGGTGAAGTTTCCCAAAATAACTAAATAAAATGATGCTTGAGGTCTGTTGAACATAAATGTAACATAACAAAATATATGTTGCCTTTAAATGAGCTATAACTTCCACAAGTTGTAACAAGGTGATCAGCTGACCCTGAAGCTTGTGGTGTTTCAGCTTCCTCATAGGAATGATTTATTTCTCTGATGCTCTTTCTTTGATCACCTGACTCTGTTCTTGGTCCATGGACTGTGGAACTGAGACAGATCTGCGCATGTTTGTACCGCCAGTTTAGTGCGGAGAAGACGCAGCCCAGAGCGCAGTTCGGTTTGGTTGTTCAGCGCGCTCGGTTCTATTAAAGGGGCGGGGTGTACTGTCATATTACGTCATGAAATTAGCAAATTAGTATATCATGATATTATTTTTTGTCCCGGGCAAGCTTTTTTTACCAGTGTTATCATGAACGATATGATATGGCCCAACCCTACAAGTTACTAATAAAATACAGGTAAGAGAATACAATAAAACAATAATAAAAAGAGTCCCAACACAGCCAGCAGCACACGAGCCGGTGCTACACAAAAGCCTCTGCTCCATCTTCTCTCTCTTGGAGCGTGGGTGTGTCAAACGCCGCTTCCAAGCAACTGTAGGACGAGTGTCATCTCTGAGGTAATTTCAGAACTCGGCAAAGCAGCAGTGGTGATTGTGGAAATAAATCTACAAACCACAGTAAAAATAGTTTAGAGTAAATTGATTAAAATAAGGCTCATGACTAATTACACCTACCGATCAGGCCAAGCTCTCTCCTCGCTCCCACACAAACTGGAACGCTCACAGAAACACGCTGGCAGCAGGAACCACTTCACCCACCATCAAACGTGGTTGTGAATGCGCCGACACTTATCTTCTGGTATAAAAGTATATAAACTACATACTCTTAAGCTGTTGTAAGTGCGCATGAAGCCAACCTCACCTGTACTTTGCACACAGCAAATGTAACGCGTAAGCGCAGTGTGACGCGTCCGTAAACAAGCGTCTTGGAATCACTGAGTGACGCATTAGTCAACCAAACCCAGTACGCAGCCTACCTGTGCTTTTATAGTCAGTGCCACTAGTGTTATTGGCTGATAAAGCAATTATCCTTGCAGCAGGTGGAGTCTTCACCTGCTTCCTGCCACATTCTACCCCACCCTTTTTGTGTTGTCGCATCGATGACTCAGCTCCAAGGCCTAAAAAACACAAAAATAGAATTGGCTGTTGGATAGGGCTGGGTACCTTTCTAAATAAAATCGGTATCGGTACCGGTGTCGGTACCTTCACTTCGGTGTTGGTTCCTGGACGGTTCTTTTTTCGGTACCAATTTTGTAATTATTATTAATTCTAAAAAGAATAAAATTACGTTACACATTACAGTACAAATTGTGAATTTTATTTTTTTTAAATTTGGTATTTCTATTCCAAGCAGTTTTCTTACATTAAAATAAACATAATTTCCATTTCAAAAGAACAGTTGCAAACAACAAGTGACATGTCAGTGTCTAATGCTCACTGCTACACGTTGAGGACCTTTTCACTGAACAGTTTGTCTTCAGAAACATGTCTTCTTTCTCTGGACACAAACAAGCCCACTCCTGGCTGATGGTGTCTCCTTCAGTAGAAAATGTTCACTCTGAAGTAGGGCTGCAACAACGAATCGATAAAAATCGATGATTAAAAGCGTTGGCAACGAATTTCTTTATCGATTCGTTGTGTCGTGCGATTATGCAACTTTCACAGTGCTGCGGAGCCGTTTCGTTTTGTTCATTGTCAATGCTGACTGACTGAATAAAGTTTGTAAAAAAAAAAAAAAAACTGCAGCGCGAGTTGAACAGAGCGAAGGGGGAGCAAAGCAGAGTCTGTTTTCAAAGGAAATTTAAGTAAATTTTACAAATGACCGACGCAGCGAAAACTGTTCGACCCAAGTCCTCCAAAGTGTGGGAGAACTTCACAAAGATAAAAAATGAGAAACATGCTGCTTTGAAAATCGCCGACACGACACAGGAGAACCACGGAGATAAACGGAAACATGTCGGAGTCACGAGGAGGAGGAAGGAGCTGCAGCTGATACAACATGTCTCACTCCCATCTCATGTTGCAGGCGAGTCTCTACAATTTAACACATTGTTCTGTTTCCAAGTGAGAAAACGTAACATCAGTCTGACTGGTAGATGAAGCTGTTTGTTTTCTGATTAATGACGGTGATGGAGAACGTGTGTGTTACTTTTTATTTAATTTAATTGGTACAAGCAGTGTTTAAATGTGATTTATAAATAAATCTAACACAAAGATAATAATTTAATCCAAAAAAGTTCAATCTGGTCCTCTGGACATTAAAAAACAAAACAAAGCAAAAAAATATAGAAACGTTTCATCTCTCATCCGAGAGACTTCCTCAGTCTGTGCTGTATACAGCTCTGTCTCTTAAATAGCACCTTCTCAGAGTGGATCAACCAGTTTTGCTGCTGACAACCAAAACCAGCTGATCACATGCTCAAGAAGGGCCATCAGCCTAACAATGTATCATTAGCACTCTGATGGCTGTTCACTATTCACAAAGGGCTAAGTGATACTAGCAATCACAGCATTGTTATGCCCCTTTTCCATTAGTACCGGTACGGGCCGACTCGACCCTACTTGGCCCGGTTCTGAGGCTTTTCCATTAGTACCGGTACTTAGCACCTGTTACTATTTTCAGTACCCTTGGCTCTGTGGTTCTAACCGGTATGAAGAGGTACAAAAACGTGACGTCAGTACACTGTCGGTCACTGGTTGGTCGGGGGCGGAGTCGGGGGCGGAGTCACTGGATCCTTCAGAAACGTTTCAAAACAATAATCCGCCATTTGCAATTTCTCGGACTGGAGCAGCGGCTGGATTTATTTTAAAGATTTTAAAAACAATACTGACAACATCTTGGTCTAATGTTGATGTGCTGGCATTTTTTGTGCTTGGTGGCCGACAACATAATTCAGAGCAAGCTGGATGGAGCTCTGCTGGTGTACCCTGATCCTCCCTCCAGAGCCTCGGAGCGCCAGACCGGGCAGGGCGTCATCTCCCCGGCTCCAAGTTCAGCTGGTCACCGCGGAAGATCCATCCATGTGCCGACTCGGAGGCTCGGGTTCTGGATACCAGCCTTGTGTGCTCAGAGCTCCGCAGGTCACTGCGAAGCTGGAGATGGGGACTCGCAGATGGACGTTGCCAGACCCCGGCCGCGCGTAATCCTGAAGGCTGAATCCCGATCCCACCCGGCAGTCAGGCGGACTGGACAGTCTGGGACGGACGCTGGAAGCGATTTTTAAATAAAATAACATTTTGTTTTTATACAAAAAATGTTTTAAAAAAATGCTGAAGCGATTTAAAAATGATTTATTTATTTTTTTACACGTAAAATGTTTTTTAAAATCGCTTCCACCGTTCGTCGCAGACCCGTCTCTGTCCGCCTGTCTGCGCGGGTCGGACCTTCATGATTACGCGCAGCTGGGGTCTTGGAACGGCCTC